CTCATACCAGTCCTAGGAAGTAGTTAGCCTACACAGGCCCGTCTTTGGATGGGGCAAAGGAGGCTGAGAAAAAGTAAGTACAGGCACACCTCGGAGAGACTGAGGGTTCAGTTCCAGACCATTGCAAGGAAGCGAGGGACCCAACACAGGGGCCCCAGGTTTAATCCTTGGCTGGGGAACTAGATCCCACATGCCACAACTAAGACCTAGCACAGCCAAATAAATAAGACAAATTTTTTAAAAAATGGTTTTTACACTACCCCTTAGTCTGTTACGTATGCGATCACTTTACATCAAAAGAAAAAAAAATCAGTATGCATGCCATAATTTAAAAATTCTGTATTGCTAAAAAATGCTCACCGTTATCTGAGACATCAGCAAGAGGCAGTGTGTGCTAAGTCGCTCAGTTGTGTCTGACTCTTTGCGACCCCATGGACTGCAGCCCGCCAGACTCCTCTGTCCATGGGATTCTCCAGGCAAGAATGCTGGAGTGGGTTGCCATGCCCTCCTCCAGGTTATCTTTCCGACCCAGGGATCGAACCCACATCTCTTACGTCTCCTGCGTTGGCAGGTGGGTTCTTTACCACTAGCGCCACCTGGGAAGCACAAGGTAGTAGTAACATCAAAGATCACTGATCACAGATCCCCGTGACACCTCTAATAAGGATGAAAATGCTGAGAATGGTGAGAATTACCAAGATGAGGCACAGAGGCATGAAGTGAGCAACCACTGTTGGAAAAATGGCACCGACAGCCTTGCTCAGTTCAGGGTTGCCACAAACCATCAAGTTCTAAAAGCACACAATATCTGTGAAGTGCGATAAAACGAAATGTGCCTGTAAGCTCACCAGTAAGCAAGTGGCGGGTGTTACCTGTGTAACCACTTCTCCCCGGATTATTGGTGCCTCTCGTCTGGGTGGCCCCTCAAAGCACATGCTAAGTCCAGGCTGTGTTGGGTAGAGGGAGTGAAGCGTCGAGTATGGTGGCAGGACGCGGGCTAGGGTGCGGGCAGGAGGTGAGTGGCAGCCTCGAGGAATGATGGGAGGCTGGGAGGCTGGAAGCCCCTCTCCCAGTCTCCTTCCCCTCCCTCTGGAGCAGGCCTGCTTGCTGCTGCTGCGGTTTTATGTTGGGGTTCTGATGCTTTAAAAAAAAGCTAAACAAAGCAAGAGCTCCCCAGGTGGCGCTAGTGGCAAAGAACTCGCCTGCCTATACAAGAGATGTAAGGTAATACAAACAGCCGGGAAAAGAAGAGACGCGAAAGCAAAGGAGGAAAGGAAAAATATTCCCATCTGAATGCAGAGTTCCAAAGAATAGCAAGGAGAGATAAGAAAGCCTTCCTCAGTGATCAGTGCAAAGAAATAGAGGAAAACAACAGAATGGGAAAGACTAGAGATCTCATCAAGAAAATTAGAGATGCCAAGGGAACATTTCATGCAAAGATGGGCTCAGTAAAGGATAGAAATGGTATGGACCTAACAGAAGCAGAAGATATTAAGAAGAAGTGGCAAAAATGCACAGAAGAACTATACAAAAAAGTTCTTCACAACCCAAATAATCACGATGGTGTGATCACTCACCTAGAGTCAGACATCCTGGAATGCAAAGTCAAGTGGGCCTTAGGAGGCATCACTATGAACAAAGTTAGTGGAGGTGATGGAATTCCAGTTGAGCTCTTTCAAATCCTAAAAGATGATGCTGGGAAAGTGCTGCACTCAATATGCCAGGAAATTTGGAAAACTCAGCAGTGGCCACAGGACTGGAAAATGTCAGTTTTCATTCCAATCCAAAAGAAAGGCAATGGCAAAGAATTCTCAAACTACTGCACAATTGCACTCATCTCACACACTAGCAAGTAATGCTCAAAATTCTCCAAGCCAGGCTTCAACAGTATGTGAACCGTGAACTTCCAGATGTTCAAGCTGGATTTAGAAAAGGCAGAGAAATGAGAGATCAAATCGTCAACATCCGTTAGATCATCGAAAAATCAAGAGAGTTCCAGAAAAACATCTACTGCTTTATTGACTATGCCAAAGCCTTTGACTGTGTGGATCACAACAAACTGGAAAATTCTTCAAAAGATGGGAATGCCAGACTACCTTACCTGCCTCCTGAGAAATCTGTATGCAGGTCAAGAAGCAACACTTAGGACCTTACATGGAACAACAGACTGGTTCCAAATCATGAAAGAAGTACCTCAAGGCTGTATCTTGTCACCCTGCTTGTTTAACTTACATGCAGAGTAAATCATGAGAAACCCTGGGCTGGATGAAGCACAATGAAGATCGCCGGGAGAAATATCAATAACCTCAGATATGCAGATGACACCACCCTTATGGCAGAAAGTGAAGAGGAACTAAAGAGCCTCTTGATGAAAGTGAAAGAGGAGGGTGAAAAAGTTGGCTTAAAGCTCAACATTCAGAAAACTAAGATCATGGCATTTGGTACCATCCCTTCATGGGAAGTAGATGGGGAAACAATGGAAACAGTGAGAGACTTTATTTCTTTGGACTCCAAAATCACTGCTGATAGTGACTACAGCTATGAAATTAAAAGATGCTTGCTCCTTGGAAGAAAAGCTATGACCAACCTAGACAACATATTAAAAAGCAGAGACATTACTTTGCCGACAAAGGTCCGTCTAGTCAAAGCCATGGTTTTTTCAGTGGTCATGTATGGATGTGAGAGTTGGACTATGAAGAAAGCTGAGTGCCAAAGAATTGATGCTTTTGAACTGTGGTGTTGGAGAAGACTCTTGAGAGTCCCTTGGACTGCAAGGAGATCCAACCAGTCCATCCTAAAGGAGATCAGTCCTGGGTGTTCATTGGACGGACTGATGCTGAAGCTGAAACTCCAATACTTTGGCCACCTGAGGGGAAGAACTGACTCATTTGAAAAGACCCTGATGCTGGGAAGGATTGAAGGTGGGAGGAGAAGCGGACAACAGATGATGAGATGGTTGGATGGCATCACCGATTTGATGGACATGAGCTTGAGTAAGTTCCGGGAGGGAGTTGGTGATGGACAGGGAAGCTTGGCATGCTGCAGTCCATGGGGTCACAAAGAGTCGGACATGACTGAGTGACTGAACTGAATTGAAAGTGATACAGGTTTGACCCCTGGGTCAGGAAGATCCCCTGGAGGAGGGCATGGCAACCCACGCCAGTATTCTTGCCTGGAGAATCCCTACGGGCAGAGGAGCCTGGCGGAGTTGGACTCGACTGAAGCAACTTAACACAAACACAGGCAAACGGAGCAAGGGGGTTGGCGATTTGAGTTCCGCCCCAACACGGGTCTGCAGGCAGATCCAGGATGGCCCCAGGCCTGGCCGGCTGCATGGGGCTTCCCTGCCAGCTCTGAAGCCACCTCCAACCACGCTGGGTTCCAGACCAGCTGGCCCGTGGGAGGGCGCCCTTAGGGCTGCAGCCACACAGTGCTTGGCTGGGCTCCCAGTCAGCTAAGGCCTTCTTTCCTTGTCATCCTTGCCAGGCCTGGGGTGTCTCAGCCTGACCATGGCACAGGCCTTAGAAATCACCTGGGGCATCTGCTCACCACGTAGGTTCCTTGGGCTCCACACCAGACACCACCCCCGCCCCTCCGATCCAGGGTCCTGGGGGTGAGGCCTTGGCATGTGTATTGTTAACTACTTCCCAGATGAGTCTGCCATACCGTCGGCCCCAAGAACACTGTGGATCCAGCTCACCATGCTGGGGGGGTCTGTTCATCTGGGAGCATCCTGTATGTTTGCGGGGTGCTCAAAGAGGGGCCTGTGGGGGCCTTCCCTGCCCAGCCCCCATCAGCCTCCAGCAGGAGGGTCCCATGCCATCTGCCTGGCCACTCTGCCCAGATCAGGTCCTGCTGTCACCTGCCTGAGTGCAGCCTCATGGCCTGTCATTTCCACTTCCAGCCAGTGAGGCAGAGCTTCCGGGTGACTGACAATGGGTGTGAGCCCCCAAGAATCACCTAAGAAGCACCCCCAAATCTCAACAGAGCCCAGACACAGCCAGTGTCACCAACAGGGACCGGGCGTGATCCCCTAACCCCCACCTGGTGACTCCTTCCCTTGCAGGTCCGCTGGCTGGGCCCAAGGAATATGCAGACTCTCCTAAAAGGAAGAAAATTCTCTCTCTTTAAAAATACATTCATTCAAAGCAAATACCACGCATTAGTCTCTGGTCAGCATGGAGCAGAGGGAGGGAGCGTGGGCTCAAAGATGACCAAGGCGTGAGGCACTCAGGGTCAGATGGGGCGGCAGTCACATGCTGGTATGCTGTCCCCCTCTTTCTGTCTCATCCTCTCACTGGCTCCATCTCTGTCTCAGTCCGTATATCCTGAGGACTGCCTGAGAAAGCAGTAATAGCATAGGAATTCAATCCATTTAGAAGGGGCCCTGTGAGAGCTGGGCTGGTCCTGGAAGGCTGCCTGGAGGTGGTGAGGTATGTGATAGATCTTGAAAAACGGGCTGGCTTTCCTTAGGGCAGAGGTTGCAAACCAAAATCCTGCTGCCCGGCTGGTAATGGGGAGGAGTAGAGAGGGTGGGTGTGGGAAGATAGAAGATGATGGGGACTGCGAATTCCCAGGGGGCGCCTGTCCCCAGGGAGAGCCACGTAGAAATGACAGCCTACCTTACTGGATCTTCTGATTTTTTTTTGAGAGCAGAAGAGAATCCAAACATTTATTGGAAATTTTCCAATATTCCCATCAAAAGAGAAAAAAGGGTCTGTGTCTGATTGAGCAGCAGTCAAGCTGGCCATTTTCAGCCCCACCTTAGGGGCTAGAGGGCCAGGTGGGTCTCTGGTGCCAAGTTGCTGCATTTATGGGCCTCCTGCCTCCCAGCTCCTCCCCGCTGAACTATCCCAACAGCAGTGGGACAGGGTAGGCCGGCTGCTGCCTGAGCTTTGGGGCCACATGCCAGTTCCCACGCGTCACTCCCCGGTCGGGAGGCTGGCCCCTGACCCCTGTCCCTCCTGGCTTTGGCTTCACCTCTGGTCCTTCCCCCGCAGGGCTGTTACACAGTGATCCTCAACGCCTTTGAGACTTACGTCTACCTGGCCGGGGCCCTGGCCATAGGGGTGCTGGCCATCGAGGTAAGTGAAGGCCCCCACTTCTGCAGTTCCCCAGAAGCAAGACGCCCTCACAGGGTCTGGGGCAGACCCTCATATAGCCTGTACCCCCAGCCTACCTCCAGCTCCAGATCCCTAACCTAGGACCCAATGGGACCCCGCTTCGGGGACTATGGAGTAATAAGCCCAGCCATGCCTGTCTGTTCCCTGAGTTGTTATGGGGCTCTGGACACATCTGAGCAAGTCTCCAGGCAATGGGGGTAGACAGGCCTTGAGAGTCACTCGCCCCCAAACCCTGCACCCCACCCAAGGTCCAGAGTGAACTCTTAAGGATCAACACAGCTGATCTGAGGGAGGGGCTACAGCCTGTGCTTCTAGATCAGGCCTCTTCTCTGTGGGATGTTCAGAGCCCGTGGGGCCTTGCTAACCTTCACAAGTTGCAGATGGAGTCCCAGCAGTGAAGATCAGAAGGGTGCTGAGCCCCCTTAAAAGGAAGGCCGCTGCAGACGCTTAGAGCCGCCACTAGGTGGCGCTGTGGTCAAACGGTGGAGCTGCCCCCTTCCTTCTACCCAGCCCAGTCTGGGATCTCAAATGCCCTGGCCTGCGAGGATGCACAGTCTGAAGAAAGGGGCGGCCAGTCCTTGGCCAGCGGGGAAAGGGAATCAGACAGCGCAATCCTCAGCCTACACCTCCCACCTAGCACCGTAAACCTGGACTTGCTTAGCTTCTTACTGAGTCCTTTGCTGTTGTTCAGTCGCTCAGTTGTGTCCGACTGTTTGGCACCCCACGGACTGCAGCACGCCAGGCTTCCCTGTCCTTCACCATCTCCCGAAGCTTGCTCAAATTCGTGTCCATTGAGTACTGTGTCCTGCAGTCCTAGAGCAGTTTTGTGGAGACTTTCGAGGATGGGGAGATGGATTTATTCATTCACCCATTCATTCCCTCATCAAGCATAGATTGAGGCCCAGCTGTGCACCAACATTGTTCTAGGTGAACAAGTCCTCTCCTGGGAGGAAACAATGATCAGGAAACACAGATCAGTACCAGGCCCCTGGGAATCGCAAGACACATGTACCCTGCAGGAAGAACACGGGCTTCTGGAGTTCAGCTCCCAGATCTGCCTCTCCCCGCACACAGGATGCCTGAGCCAGTTTCCTTATTTGCAAAATGATGCTAAAAGCTGGCTCCTACAGCACTGTGGACATCAGAGGTGGTGGGGACCCTGTGACGGGGGCTCATTAAGCAGTGTCTGTGTTCCCAATCTGCTGCCCTCACACCCAGCCCACAAGCCCAGCTGTGGGGGGGGGGGGGGAGGAGGTGGGGGCAGGACCTCAGACAGGGACGGTTACCATATGCCTTGCCTCCCCCACCCAGAGTCCCTCCTGGAGGTTTGGTCATGAGCCTGTGGTCTGGGGACTGCGCCTTGTACTACTTGCAGGAGCTCTGGCATTGGGGTACAAGCCAGCCTGAATAAATAGACATCCCTGAATCAGGGTCTCTGCATACCCCACCCTCCCATGGCCCTTAGACAGGTGTTCAGTGACTGTGCTTCTATTTTGGGGAAGGGCTATGTCTTTCTTGGTTGTCAATAACATTTCTAGTAACTTTTAATTAAACATCTACTATGTAATAGGCCTCACTATATTGTTAATCACCTTAGACTTCCCATCTCACACCCCTCCTGTGAGCTAGAAGGAGGGGACTGCAGGGGCTGTGAGACTGGCCTCTGGACTCAGAATGCCTAGACTCTGACCCTGGCTTCCTCGTTGTTATTGTGTGATCTTAGGTGGGTTCCATGATTTCTCTGGGTCTCACTTCCTGATCTGTGAAAATACTTCTGAGAAAGCAGTTAGAACTGTGTCCAGCACACAGTAAGCTCTTGATACATACTCAGGTCCAGAGAAGGGAAGTGTTTGGCCCACGTTTGCTGACAGCAAATAAGAGAGCTGGATTTGAACCTACGGCCCAAGCCTCCTTCTTTTCATGACCACACTGCATGAGGGGACCAGTGGCTGGCAGAGGGGCTTGCCCCGCCCAGGGCAGTCTCAGGAGTGCCTGCAGCGAGAGTGTGCTAAGAGTGATGGGTGAGCCCCCTTGCTGTGCCAGGGCAGGCAGCCCCTTCTCCTCGGGGTGGGACAGTGCCCCGGAGGGCTGTGAGCCCAGACTGACAAGCCAAATCCTACTTTCTTTGCAGCTTTTTGCCATGATCTTTGCCATGTGCCTCTTCCGGGGCATCCAGTAGAGGGTGTGGCCTGAAGCTTGAAGACTCACCCCGCCCACCACTGCCCAGCACCCAACGCCCTCCCCTCCCCCGCACCCCTGCCCTCTTGGCCCCGGGGGAGGAGGTGAGGCCATCCTGAGTGGCCAGAAAAAAGGGGCAGAGGAAAATAGCTATTTTTTTAACAAAACAAAATGAAGACAAAACTATGGACTGATACAGCCCGTCTGGACTCGGAGTGGGCACCGCAGGTTCACTGCATGGACCCGGGCACACCCAGGAGGCAGTCTGCACTGGAGACCAAAGCAACAGCAGGCCCAGGCCCCCTCCTCGACCCAACCAGATCCGGCAGCCAGGGACCTGGGCCCTAGGCTCACAGCTTCAGGACTGGGTGCCAAGAATGTAAGGATGTAGGCAAATGAAGCAAAAGAAGATGGTGGAGGAAGCCTGGCAAAGCCCAGGGGCCCCCAGGAGACCTGGTCACCACATCCTTGAGGATTTGAAACCTACTCGGAAATCCCTGGCCCCCAAGGATGGAGTTGTCCTGCCTCAGGCCGGGGCCAAGAGTAGGATCCAGACACTGGATCCAAGAATGGCCCGGCTGGTAGGGTCCACGCTTCCCCATCTGTCGGACTGAATGACCTGGAAAGCCCAGAGAGGGGCAGTTTCTCATCCACAGTCACACAGCACATGCATGACCGTTCCGAACAAGAACCCCATCACCCCGAGGCTGCCTGTCACTTCTCCCAAGGGTCTGCTGGTCCCAGCAGATCTGCCGCTCTCACGGCTCCCTGGCCTCCACATCCTGGTTTCCCAGGAGAGAGAGGGCAAGCTGGTCAGGAGTGGCCTCCTCCCAGCTCCACAGCTAAGAACGTTCTCGACTCTACCCTCCCTGCTCTCCACCCCCTGCCCACCTCCCCACACTCTTCTCTAAGTCCCAGGAACACACACACATGCACACACACACCACAGCCCCTTTTCCACACTGCCCACCTTTCCTCACAAGCCCCTCTCTGGCTCCCAGGGCTAGAAGGAACCCCCGGATCATCTGGCTCACCTCTCCTCACTCAGAATTGCCGCTTGGATGCCTTCCACAAGATCCCTGCCAAGACTTCTCCATCTTCTTCTTGCACACCTCCAAGGACAGGGAGCTCACTACCTCCCAAGCCAGGCTTCTCTTTGGACCGCTCTGACATCAGCATCAGCTCAGTACACGCAAGAGGTTTCTGCTTTCCTGTGGTTCTGTCCATGTCATGCCACGTGCTCTCTCTCTGTCCCCAAGTGTGAAGGCCACATTGTCCCCCCCGAGCCCCTTTACCCTCAGGCTAAAGACCCCCAGGGCACCTATCAGTTTTGCTCTGCCAAGTCTTTCCGGTCCCCTCACCGTCTGTAGCACACACTTCTGAGTGTTGCCTCTAGGATCTGGCAGGGGAAGGCTTCCTCACAGACTCACCCACACCTACACAGCACCCACAGATCAGCCCCTTATATGTGCAAGTCTTGAATTCTAGACCAGTGTTGGCAAGTGCACTGCAAGATGTCTTGACCCTGACCAGTCAGGAGTGGCAGCTGGGCAGAGGATCTGAGCTCTGGTCTGGGCTCAGTGGGCAAGGGACAGTGTGATCTTGATTAGTGATGTCTGCGAAGCAACTCTGGCTGGATTGGTGATGTCTGCCACAGGCATGGGCGTGGAAAGGGCGGTATGTTACCTGCTCTCCTATCATTTGTCTTTGGGGTCTGGGAAGGACCCATTCTGTCTCACAGGCCCTATGCCAGCTTCCAGCCTCCAAGCCGCCAGGAGACGGATCAGCGGCCTAGAGCTCGTGCTCCCCTGCTCTGCCTCCTGATACCACTAGAGTCCCGTGCCTGCTGTAAAGATTTGGTTTGACGCTCCCCCTATTGCTGTCTTCCCCCCTTGCACCCTCCCCCCTGTCCTCTCTGGTCTGGATCTTTCCACAGTGCTCCTGTATCAGGCTGCCCTGGCACCTCCATAAATGATGTCACGGACTCCCCAGTGACCCGGCAGCCCCAGGACCCCAGAGGCCATGCAGCTGGTGCTCCAGCCGGGTCTCTAGACCCGCCTATAAGTTGGCTCCAACTTCCTGCAAAGGGCTGGTGTGAGGTGGGCAAAATAAAGAAAGCAAGCTGATTAAGCAGGGGTTAGGGTCAATTTGGGCAACTGTGTGGCTTCACTTTAGGGGTGCCCTAGGCATCAAGGCCCCATCCAATCCCCACTGCCCAGGAGATTTTGGGGCCTTCAAGGTAAGAAGAACCAGGCATCAGACACCCCTCCCCCCCAGGCCCCTGAGATGAAAGGCTGGTCATGGAGGAACACCTGGGGGAGACGGGTTTTGAGGGCTGATGTGAGAGTTTCTCATCACCAAGGGCTTTCCAGAAAGGGTCAAGGAGCCCGGATTTGCCACCACTGACTACATTCTGGGGCTGGAAAGGGGAAGCAGGCCTCTGTTCTATAGCATTAATGCAGGCTGGCAGCTATTTGCAAGGCTATTTGTGACCATTCTGAACAGGCCTGAGAAGGCTAAGCCCAGCCCCAACAGCCCTCGATGGGTGCAGATGGCAATTTGGGGGCTGCTGGGGAGGGGGTGGGGCTTCCTAGGTGGCACTGAAGGTAAAGAAGCTGCTGGCCAATGCAGGAGATGTAAGAGACGTGGGTTTGATCCCTGGGTTGAGAAGATTCCCTGGAGGAGGGCATGGCAACCCACTCCAGTATTCTTGTCTGGAGAATCCCATGAACTGAGGAGCCTGGCTGGCTATAGTCTATAGGGTCATAGAATCAGGACACGACTGAAGCAACTTAGCATGCACACATGGGGTGGGGCGGGGCAGGGCATGGAGTCTCTTAGCTGAGACTTCCTGAGCCTGAAAATAGACCAGGACCCAGGGAGACCTTGCGCTTGGTCACATACCGCACGCAGTACTGAAAAGGCCACCTTCCTGCTTAGGGGCTGGGGGCTGGGACCCTGCCTAGCATCCCATGTCCCCCCTCTCCTCTCCACACCTAAGGAACCCAGAAAGGACCCTCCAAGCCAGCTGAGGCCCCAGCCCCCCACCTCCCTAGAAGCCCCCTCGTCCCTTCCCTGGTGGGTCCTCTCCGTTGAAAGTCTATTTTGGAAACTGTACATGTTCCCTGCTGTAGGTAGCAGAGCTAATTTATCATGTTTATCCCCTGTGAGCCTCCCTTTTTTATATTATATATCAAGAGGAGTTTTTGTAATATAAAACAGGACGCCCACACTGACGGTTTTGCACTGGTTTTTGTGACTGTTTCTTACAAAAAGAAAAAGGAACGAAGAATAAATAGTGACCGTGAGGAACGGTGGTCTTGATTGGGGATGGGGGCGGAGGAGGCTGGGGCTGAGGCAGGAGCCTGGCAGGAGTGAACTGGGCGGGGGCACCCTGGATCTTCTCGAGCCTTCAGGAGGGACAGCGCCGTCCCTGCGGGCCCTCGTTCACCCTCTCTGGAGCCAAGGCTGTGCCACCCACCCCAGCTTGGCTGGCCCGGTCCGGCCCTACTCCGGCGCCCACGCTTCCCCATTCCCTGCCAGCCTCCCTCCCCTGCTCAGCGGTTGGTTCTTAGGACAAGCCGTCCATCCCTTGCTGGCGCAGTAGCCAGGCCTCGAAAAGCATGGGTCAGCTTCGACACAGCAGGGCCGGGGGTGGGGGACGGGGGAGCATGGCCCGCCCGCCACCACCACCACCTGCCAAAGGCCGCACTGGCTCCGGGCCTGCCTGGGACTCGGTGGAGGGGTGCGGGGGGGTGGACACGATTCTACAGGGAGACTAGAACCTCAGCCCAAGAGACGGAGGCCCTGGGGGAATGGCCCATCCTCAGGGTCCCGCTTCCGCTGCCTTCAGCCGCAGCCAGCAGCCTTGGGCTCCTGACCCGCCGAGCAGGCCTCCATTTACAGTGGTGGCATCACTGGGCAAAGGCCATGGCACCGGCTCTGTGGCCACAGGGACAGCTGTGGGCGTGGGGGAGGGCAGTGAGGCCCGGGGCGGGGTGGGAGGCCCTCACGTAGCAGCAGCCCGAGCTGGGCTACACCTCAGGAGCACCCGGCCCGCCCCTTCAACACAGTGCTGAGACAAGAGGCAAGTCCGGGGCCTGGCCTGCTTCCCTGCACACCCGTCCCCAGGGCACGGGGGCCGCCAGTCCCTGTGTGAGGGGGCGAAGGAGGGACGTGCGATGCGGGGTGGGCAGCACAAGGGTGCTGGGTCTGCAGGGGTCTCAGCCCCTTCGGGGCAGTGGGGGAGACGGGTGTGAGTGGAGGAGGCCTGCTGAACTGTTTCTTTTTTTTCTGCCCTACTGAGCTTTGAAGGGTACCCAGTCACACCCACAGCCGGGCCTCGTGGCAAACCCAGGACAGAAGGCCAAAGGGCAGCACCCTGGGGAAGGAGGGAAGGTGGCTGAGGGGGCTGGGCCGGGTGTGCAGCAGACCCCGGAGGACACGCCCAAGTGAGGAGGAAATGCTCTTCTCTCTGCCTGACTCCAAGCCCCATCACTAACAGGTGGCCTTCATCCGGGGTTACCCAGGGGTCCATCTGTCAGGGCCGGCCTGGGGCCAGGAGGAAGGGGGCATCTAGGGGGCCTCCACAAGCTGGGGCCAAGGCAGAGAAGCCAAGAGTGAGCCCGGGGCTGAGGATAGGGCCCCGCTGCCCCCAGGAGGCGGAAAGGGAGGTACTGGCTCAAAGGCGGCCCCCCACCCGGCTCCCTGCCATCCCATAGCTGTGCTGGGCGTTTAGGGGGCACAGAGGCCCCTGTGTGCGGAGGGGGCCCGCATGGAAGGGAAGGGGCACAGGGTCAAGGTCTCGGGTCTTCCAGGCAGGGGAGGGAACCAAGTTTGGCAGCTTGGGCAGCATTGGCTGGGAGGTGCAGGGGACGGACAGGGAGGCGGTCCACAGCCTCTCAAGAAAGAAGGGTCTTGTGACAGGGGAAGAAGGGGCCTAGCCCGGCTGGATGCCCCTGACTCAAGCTCTCCTGTAAGCATATGTCCAGGGGGATCCAGAGGCCAGGAGGCTCACAAGAAGGAGGCATCACCGTGCAGGGGGCAGTACGGGGTACAGGGCCCCGTTCCCTCCCCAGCTCTGAAGGCCCAAGACATCACAGCATCCAGGGGGGAAGGGGAAGGCGCCCACCCTGCCTGCCCAGTGCAGGGTGCTTCCTGCCTTCCAGAACCAAAGGGGACCCGAGGGCGGTCCCAGGGCCTCCCTGCCCCAGAGGGGCCCCTGGCCCTGCGGGTGGCTACACCTTCTTGGGTTTTCGGCCGACTTGGTAATAGTAGTAAACGCTGACGGCGACAAAAAGGAGGCGGCTGGCCAGCAGCAGCAGGATCCCCTGAGACACGAGGCCCGTCTCGGCTAGCGTGGCAGTGACCACTGCGTGAGAGAAGCGGCGGGGAACAGGGGTCAGGATCGCTGTTCCTCCCCCCGAGCACAGGATACCAGGGGCCCCAGGGCAGCTGCCTGGCTGACCACCGACCCGTCCTGCCCTGAGCTGGGGTGTCAGGCCAGCCACAGGTAGGTCTGTTGTCACCACCCACGTGGCAGGAACAGGGGCGAGCATGTGCGCACAGCTGGGCGTCTGTTGCCCCCTCCCTGTCCTGGGGACACGAGGGAGCAGTGGGCGGTGGATGCATGGACGTGCACTCAGGAACAGGCACACGTGGGCCGTGTGGGCACCAGTGTACGCACACACAGGTGAACACGGCCACACGAGTCCCTCCCCCGTACACAGGTTTTCATCACTTCCCAGAAATCAAGTGGCAAGAGCTGAGGGAGGTCAGGGATTAAGCTGCCGGCACCCCATCAGCCACCCGCCACCACGCCCCCAGCCCTCAACTGTCCAGCTCAGGACTCACCCAGGAACTGGACCGAGAAATAGCAGGCTTCAGTGAGCAAAGTCCATCGGATGATGACCTTCTCAGCCGTGTAGAGAGCATTCCACATGATCAGGGAGATGCCTGGGGCCAGAGACAAGGAAGGAACTGGGCGCGGGGTGGCCTGATCCACCCCCACCCCCACCCTGGTCCTTGAGGCAGGGGCAAGGGGTCCGCTCCTCTTCCCTTCGGCAAAGTCGCCAGGACCCCAGGCATCCCCTGCCCTGACTCACAGGCAGGGAGGTTTTGGAAGGGAGGCTCGATTGCACCCCACAGATAACCCTGAACGTCAGACTGGGACTTTAGCCTGCAGGTAATAGGGAGCCATAGAAAGTTTTGGCGACGCGGAAGGACACTACAGGTGTGGGGTTTTAAATGTTATCGTTCACTTTCCTAACAGGCGCTGCTTGCGTGTAACTCAGGCTGGAGAAGAAACAGAAGCGGTGAGGGTTTTACAGATGCTGTGTTGATTTCGCCTCCTCTTCTAGGCTGTGAGACCCTGGAGGGCGGAACCTGGGCTTCCTTCATCTCTCTATCCCAACGCCCTGGTGGAGCACTGCATGCAGCAAGCGCTCAGTAAGTGCTCTGTCTCAGATGACGGTTAAGAACAGCCCCGAACCACGGGCGATGTTCCATCAGTGGCCGCAAGAGGGCAGCACACACTCATCAGAGTCAGACTCGGCAGCTGAAGGGCGGGCTCTGGGAAGCGAAGCCCCAGCACAAAGAAAAGAAAGGCTCCCCAGGCTTCCCTCGCCCTCCATGGGCCCCCTAGTTGCCCATCACCCTCCCAGCGTCCGCCCAGCAATACTCACTGAGGAGGGCACCGCCATAGAGGCGGATGGGGGTCTTGCTGGTCACCTGTGCTCCGTCGAAGACCGCATCGTAGAGCTGGTCTGGAAAGGCAAGGGCCTGCGGACAGTGTGCGGGAGGCTCGGGGTGAGGGGCTCCCTGTGGAGCCTTTCCCTTGGACATCTCCTTCCCTCCCCCAGCAACAGTCCAGGGTCAGGACCCTGACTGCCCCCGCCCCGTCCACGGCAGCAGAGATCTCAGGTTCCAAGGACAAAGAGTCTGGACCGTGGACCAGGAGATCTTGGATGCTCCAGGGCAGGGCACAGGTGGGGATGAGCATCCGAACAGGTCAGGGAGGCGGCCAGGGAGGCGGCCAGAGAGCCCGAAGGCCCTGCGAGGGGAAGGCAGCAGGGGGTCCCAGGGAAGGGGAGGGTGCCAGGTCCCAGGGCTGGGGCAGGGACTCACCATGATGGCAATGCCGGAGAAGAGAACAGCAGAGACAAACTGCCAGACTCTGGGGAGACGTGGAGAGGAAGGTCAGAGGCAGACCCCCTCGCTGCCACCCCCAGGTCCCACCCCGGGACCCTCCCCTGTCCAGGCAAGATGGAAGGATAGCTGGTCTGGAAGAAGAAACCAAGGACGAGACTACACAGGGCCCCTCCCCACAGCCTTGCCCCCCAGCAACACTCACAGGTCGATGCTCACCTGAGCCCCAAAGGCTCTCGGACAGCAAACTTGATCTCATTGCCTAAGACCTGGCTGATCTGTGGACAGAGACGGGTCAGAAGGCAGCACTGTCTGCCCAGCTCACTCCCTACCTCCCAGCGCCTGCTAGATGCTCAGGGACCCACCTGTGTGCCTCTGCTTAGCCAGAGTCACCTAGGCTGGGAGGGTCACACTGAGGCCACTCTCTGCCTCCTCTTGATACCAGGGCCCAGGGGAAACTGAAAATATGGGGGCTGAGAAATGTGAGCTCAGGCATCTCCCAGCTGTGGACTTGAAGCCTGGCTCTACCATTCATTGGTGTGGTCCTGGGCAAGTCTTTAATCTCTCTGAGCCTCAGTTTTCCTCATCCATAAAATGGGTTAATAACTGAACCTACATCTCCCAGGGCTAACAGGAAGATAAAATAATGCTTATAGAGCAGCTGGTGCCGTAACAAGTAAATAATCAGCACTCAACTGATTCTAACCACCTGTTTTCATTACTGCTACTATTCCTCTGACATATCCATTACATTTCCAGAAAATATGAGCTGAATCTGGGGGCTCCCTGCAGCTATATGGGTCTCAGCTAGTCTTCTCCCCAAACAGTGGGCCAGACCCGCCTCCTCAAATTGGTGTTCAGAGGCAGACCCCATGTGTGGCTCCTCCGACCCTGGCCCACCTTGGAGCGGTGGACCTCCCCATCGTCATCCTCTCCGCCCACACCGAGGATCTTGCGGGTCTTCAGGCGGCTCACGAGGTCCGTCTGGCTGTGCTTCTTCATGAGAGGTGGGGGCTGCTTAGCTGCCATCGTGTCCTGGGGCCCGGCCTCTGCAGGAGAGCTGCGGGGAGACACCGGTCTCAGCCACCGACCTTGACCAGCACCCAGAGCTCAGAAGGTGGCCAGACCCCAGCCTGGGGCAGCAGGTAGACACCAGAGGACTCTAAGGGCCTGGGCTTAGTACTGGGCTCCCTAACCACCCTGCTGTGGGATGAAAGGGGCAAGTCACTGCCCTGTCCTAGCCTCAACTTCCTCATCTGTAAAATGGGTTAGAGCAGATGGTCTTAAGAACTTCCAGCTCTACCAGCCCATCTGGCCTAAATGGACGTGGCCCATTCCCAGTGACCAGGCTGGAGGGAGCCTAACAGACAGCCTCAGGGGAAGTGTAGGCCTAGAACTAGGCATTCAGGCCTGGATGGAGACCAGACCCAAAGATTCTTGGAGGCAGGGAGTTAACTGGGCCTAGGTCAGCTTGGCCAGAAAAGGGAAGGCTCTGCCCAAGCCTGGGTAGGGGTCCTGAGTGCTGGGGTCCAGGCCCCCACAGAACTTTTGCCCAGATAATTCCTACTGCCCAGCAAGCCCTCCCATCCACCCACCCACCCACCGACCCACACTCCCAGACAACCTCCACTCAGCCTGCTAGCACTGGAAAGAAGAGTGGGGGGACTCCAGGACCCAGCCGAGCCAGAGGAGGGACGGCCAGGAGGGCTGGCAGGAGGGACGGCTGGGCTCTGTGGCAGCAGTCCAGCCTCACCTCTCCCCGGCCCCCCGCCCATAAGCCGCGAAGGCCCCCAGTCACCAGCCCCCCACCCCCAGCCCTACCGCCGGCCGGGATCTTGAGCACTTACTGTGTGCCGGGCGATGGAGACGCTGAGGGGAGTTGAGTGGCCGTCCTCACCTTCAGTCAGCACAAAATCTACATGAAGGAGACAACAGTGTAAGCCAGAGTGAGGTCAAGGTGTCCAGAAGCTGGCCCCGAGGGGGCCTCCTGTGACCTGGGATGACATCCTGCTAGACAGGTACCACTATACCCATTCTACAGATGAGGAAACCAAGTTCAGTGAAGTTCAGCAGAGACCAGGTTAAAAAATGGTAGCAACCCCCACCCTAGTATGTGGCCCACTCATGCTGGGTGCCTCCCACATCCCTGCACCTCATTCCCACCCACAGTAACTCCAGCAGGGCAGGAAAACCACCCACCCCCACCCCCCCCCAATAACCCACAAGGCTCAGAAGTTGCCTGTCCCTCGGCCAGGGACCCGAGGTGGGCTTGCTGGACACCCCTGACCAGGCCTCAGACGCAGGTCTTCCTGTCGTGTGGCCTCAGCCTCCCGGCCACAGCCAGGGCTGCCAGAGGGAGGGCACAGACGTGTCCCCAGGTCACCTCCAGTCCTCCACCCTCCCAGTGTCTCAGAACAAAATAAAGCGCCCAGCAAACAAACAGAACAAAGACTCATAGGGCGGGACGCTCAGATAACGTGCCTTTAGACCAGATGAACTGGGCATGGAGCACAGCGGCCCCGAGTTTGGGGAGAGTGGTCATTCAATTCCAGTTCAGTCGCTCAGTCATGTCCAACTCTTTGCGATCCCATGAACCGCAGCATTCCAGGGCTTCCTGTCCATCACCAACTCCCAGAGTTCACCCAAACCCATGTCCATCGAGTAGGTGATGCCATCCAACCATCTCACCCTCAGTCGTCCCCTTCTCCTCCTTCCCTCAATCTTTCCCAGCATCAGGGTCTTTTCCAATGAGTCAGCTCTCCGCATCAGGTGGCCAAAGTACTGGCGTTTCAGCTTCAGCATCAGTCCTTCCAATGAATATTCAAGACTGATTTCCTTTAGGATGGACTGGTTGGATCTCCTTGCAGTCCAAGGGACGCTCAAGAGCCTTCTCCAATACCACAGTTCAAAAGCATCAATTCTTCGGTGCTCAGATTTCTTTATAGTCCAACTCTCACATCCATACATGACTACTGGAAAAACCATAGCCTTGACTAGACGGACCTTTGTTGACAAAGAAATGTTTCTGCTTTTGACTGGAGGTCTTTTGTGAGTGATGCCCAGACCCAGCGGCCCTCCGAAGCCCCGCAAGCCTAGTGCCTCATCTGTAAAAAAGGGCAGCTATGCTTTTCCCTCCCGTGTATATACACGCTCGGGGAGTGGGAGGCGTCAGCTGGCGGTGACCCGGAAGGCAGCCCAATGCCCAATGCCAGTCAGAAGGGATGGCCGCCAACCCCAGCCTGGGGCAAACAGGGTGTAACTGGGCTCCTTGGGGTGGGACGGGGGTGGGGAGGTGGCCCAGGCACTGTCACAGCTCAGTCACTTGCCACCACCTTCTTGTGAATCCAGGTAGAAGGTATAATTAGACTTGCATCCCTCCTGATGCCAGATGGACCGCTGGAGGCTGCCACTGCGAGTAACAGCCCAGAGCTGGCCCCCACCCGGCCCTCCATCAAGGAAGCACCTGGCAGCCACCCTTCCGCTTCCAGCCTCCCCTTTGGTCTTTTATTTGCATACAGCAAAATGGACCTTCTCTGTGGTCTGTTGTGCTAAGAATCGTAGCACAGGACAGGTAACCACCCCCTCCACATCAGGACCCTCACCACTCCGACCCTGCCCTCGCCCCTAACCCCTGGCAACCACTGATCTGTTCTGTCATCTGCCGCTATAGTTTTGTTTCTGCACATGTGTTACATAAATGGAATCATACAGTATATAACCTCGGAGACCCACTTCCTTCTTTCTTTCAGCATCGTGCCTTTGAGACCCATCCGCCTTGTGTGTATGGACGGTCCCTTCCTCTTGGCAGGAGAGTGGTATTCCCGGATGTCAACGTACCAGTTCGTCTCCCCTGTCACTCACTGACTGACATCTGCATTGTTTGAGAGTTTGACCATTAAGAATAGAACTGCCATAAACATTCGTGTGCAGGTTCGGGTGTGACCATGAGTTTTCATTTCTCTAAGGTAAATGCTTGGGCGTGGAATTATATTGAATTACGATACACAGTAAATCTATAACTCAACTCTAGAAGAAAGTGCTAGACTGTGTTCCAAAGCAGCAAACCATTTACATTTCCCCACAATGCACAAGTGTTCCTGTTCCTCCACGTTCTCCCCAGCATCAGCCATCCTCAAACTTGACTTTGGCCCTTCATATAGGTCTCCCTGGCATTTTAACCCTTCTCACCCAGACCGGCCAGGGTGCCTGACTCAGTTCTGCTGTGCCCGTTACTAGCTGTGTGGACAAGTCACACAGCTCTGAGCCTCGGTTTTCCCCATCTGTGAAATGGAGCTGTAATTCTCAGCTCCTAGAGATCCAGGGGCAAAAAGAGAAGCCCGGTCCCAGCACACAGCACAGCACCTGCATGTTTAAATGAAAGACGTACATTTAGTAAGGATTAGCTGAGAGCCAGGCACGGGGCGGTGGCACCCGGCCCCTGCCCTTCATCAGCAGCTTAAGTCTGGGTGGGGGTCGGGATGCTGACCTGTCAGCCACCCATCAGAGCAAGTTGCTTCTCTGAGCCCCAGTGTTCTCATCTGTGAAATGGAAACAATAATCCTTACATTTTCCCTAGGGCTGGTGAAAGGAGACACAAAATAACGGCCAGAAAGTAGTTAATAAAGGGCCAGCTAACTGCTAAAGCCGGAAGAGCTTCGCTGCCGAAGCTGCACTCTCCCACGGTCAAAGCTCAGGTCTACCACTTCTCAGCTGTGTGCCTGTGGGCAAGTCACTTAACCTCTCTGGGCCTCAGTGGCCCCATCTGCAGCTGGGAAAGCCAAGGGTCTTTCCTCACTGGGAAGCTGTCAGAAAACACACATGGAGAGAGCGTGGGGCAGTGCCCGGCACACGCCAAGTGCTCGGCTGAGATGGGCACCGAGGCACAGACACCCCCTCCTCCCCACGCCCCCCATGTGGCAAGGGCTCGGACGGAGACTGGGGAGGATCAGGAGAACGGCCTAACTAGCATTTCCTAACGTCTGCACTCGCTGGACGAAGCCCCAGGACCTCAATCCCATCGCCTAAGGCTGACGCTCCGGGCCGGGTCAGCGATCCCCGCTCAGAGGGTCAGCTGCCTTCCTCTGCCCCCACGCCCTCCCCACCAACACAGCACTGCGCTCCCCTTGGCACCACAGGCCCAGGGCTGGTACGGACGGCCGGGGGGGGGAGGCGGTCACAGTGTCCTGGGAGCCATCGGACTCCCAGCATCGCTGATGTGAGATGAGCCTTATCCACAGACACTGCTGTCAGGAACCTGGGCTGGAGGGACCCACTGTCGCCACCCCTGGAGCCCAGGACCCGGCCCCAGCAGTGAGCTCACCACTGACAATGGGCCTGCCGCCTCCCAGGGAAAGTGAGATCCTGAACTTTATCTCCAGGGAGCAGGGTCCCCAGTAGCCGACCGGGCCTACAGAGCTAACTGCTCTGAGTGCTGAGTCCCAGGGCTTCTTCACCCCAGGACCGGGCCCTGCTCCCCCCAGGGAGGGCCAGTGGGCAGCTCTCACCAGCCCCTAAGCACCCAACCCGGAGACGACCCCACATACCCTCATCTGCCCGTGAACTGTTCTCCCTTTCAAGGCCTCTCCACGTGTCTTTTTTAGGAATGGCCCCACTTTAACCTAAGACAGGACGGAGGGAGTGTCCCCCGCTGCCCCCCTGCACCTCAGCTGGACAGTGGCTTTGGGACAGCCAGACCTGGGTTCGAATCCTGCTTCTGTAAGGTGCAGCAGCTCTCCCCGTTTCTGCCCCCGTGCTAATGAGAAGGGGCACTCTGCAGAGTTCCGGGGGTGGGGGAGGGAGGGAGAGCGTACGTACGAGCAGGTGCCAAGAGCAAAACGCCCTTCCGCCCTGCCCAGGGCCAGGCCAAGCCTAGCGCCTTCGCCTCCCCTTTCCTCACCCAGCCGTGCAAGTGGAAAAAGCCTGCCTGTCACAGCTGTCACCCTTCCGTGCCCAGGCCCCGCTGCCCCCTGAAGGGCCCCTAGGGCTCCCCCGGGGGGTGCCAGGTTGGTGCCAGGCTGCCCAAGGCAAGT